TAAACGCTGAACATTCAGCTGCAGACATATGTACAATACATCCAGCTCAAACACCCCACACGTAACTACATGCCACATCCACGTAAATGCTACAAAGTCAGTTGAAAAGAACGAAACGGAAACACTTCTCATGATCGATGTGTCATACTGTTCCTATTTATCGTTGTCGCTGCCGGAGTCGGTGCCGGAGTCGCTGCTATCATCGGTTGTTACAACAACCGGTGGGAGATCTTCTAGCAGCCCGTCATTCATCCAGTACTGCTGCTCCAGCCTTTTGACGTGCTCACAGCACTTAATCCAGTCCTCTGGAGAGAGAGATGTGACACCTGCCTCCACCAGCCGTTCCACCTCCTCCATCCGCCCCGTCAAGTTCCCCCATCTTATCACGCGCTTCATCTGTGCCCACACCATCTCTATCGGGTTCAAGTCGCAGTGATACGGCGGCAGGCGAACGATCCGATGACCATGATCTCTAGCAAGGTTGTCCAGAAAATATTCCTTCTTCCGGTTCTGGGACTTACCAGCTCCAGCAGCTCCACCTTCCGCATGTCTTCGTCGATGGTCACACCTGCCTGCTGCAACCACTCCTGGCTTTCCGCTTTACGCCAGCTAGAAGTTGACACTTTTTGGCACAAATGGGAATGATATGAGGCATTATCTATGAAGATCACAGAGTGCTCTGGCACGTTCGGAAGCAGGCACTCGGTGAACCACTTCTCGTAGCAGTCGGCGTTCATCGACGTATGGTAGTCGGCGTTCTTGCCATCGATCCTGAGATGGAGAAGTACGCCCGGTATAAATCCTTCTGAAGAGCCGGCATGTACTATGATAAAATGTTTTCCTTTTCCAATGGCGTTCTTCCGTCCGTTGATTTGACTACCGTCCAGCCACGCCAAGTCCTCCATAAAGTACTGATTATACCATGTCTCGTCGGTATAAATGATTTTGCTATCGGGAACTTCTCTACGCAGCCTCCTCATCTCCCGCAAGAACTGGCATCTCGTTGCTGCAATATGAGGTTTCTCGATCAGGATCTTGCGCTTGTCGATCCTTTGGTACTTAAATCCGTTCGCGAGTAGGTGTTTTCTTGCGGTGGATCTAGACATGGTGACGCCGAGCTGTTCGTGAAGAGCATCCGTGATGGTGTCCAGAGTAACATGTTTTCCGTCGATGTGCATTTGGTGTATCATTCTCCTCATCGCGCAAACATCGAACGGATCTAGATCCACCCTTGGTCTTGCTGCAGCTGGTCGGGATCGGCTTGGCGACTTCAGTCTGGCACCATTCTGGGCTTCACGTTGCATGCGGTAGACTGTAGTCTTCCCAACGCTCGTTACAGGCTGCTGTTCTTAATAATGGACTCTCCCGGACGGCGCCGTCGTCTCCCGCCTTCAACTTCATGTCCCGGTCTTCGACAAAATGTTGATACATATTATAAACAATTTCCCTACTTTGTGCCCAAGAATCCTTCCAGACGCCAGATAATATTTTTCATTCACTGGTAAGTAGGTACTAAAACATTTAAAAGATATAAAAAGACAATGAAATATACAAGTAAAACAATATAAAAGCTTTTCACTGCGCAAAATATTACCGCAGCACCAAAGCGATGCCGGTCATGATGCCGGTAATTTTTGGGCTACAGAACACTCGAATAATGACCCACGAGCAAAAAACCGTGCAAAATCGTTGGCAGCACTTTAATTCCGTTCTTTCTTACGATAAATAGAGCGTAACGTAATGTTGAGACCGGTTAACCATTCTAAATTGTAAACTACGTTCTGTGATTTAGTACCAAAAATGCATCTTTGTAACCAGCCAAATAAACCCTTTATGAAATCAAAAGACAACAAATGCATTTAGAAAACCAGTTGTGCTTGAAGTCATAGAGCACAAATATCGCAGCAAATTTTGAGACCTGAAAGGGAGAACTGAGCCTTGCGTATAACTTAAGCGTTCTTGCAGCTCAGCTGGTCGGACCGTCTGCTTCCCTTTTCGTCCATCCGTGGCGGGGTAGACTCCAGTCGCCCAAACGGAATGTTTCACATTTTAGAATATTGAAGTAAGCATCATATATGATGAAACAAGCCAACGTATAACTATTGGTATGCCTTGTAAGCGGAAAAGACGCTCTAGACAACACAATTATCTGTTAAGTAAATATGCTCCTCAATGCGTCATGACTTGATAACGTCATCGTCCCTTGCTCAACATTGATTGAGAGCCAATTGACGGCCGCTATATCTGGAAACCGCGCTCAGAAACGCGAGATATGCACGTCTGAACAGCATTATTTTTCTTAGCCTTGATCGCCGCATGGCTGATGGAAAGGCGGAATTTAAATCGTAGTTATTATAACGCCATCAATACCAATGTGACTTTAAAATACTTACCAAATGCACCTTTCCCCATTTTCGCGGGCATATAGCTCAGATGGTAGGGGGAGCTTAGGTCTTAACGAGGACTGGATTGCGAACAGCACCGAAAGGTCTTCAAATGACTAGTTTCAGTTCAAAACCTCACATAAATGTGGAACACTCCCCTTTAGGCGTTCGGTATTTTCCTCTGATTGGGATGGCCTACTGCCAGTGCCAAGGACCGCGCAAAAGGTCAGGTGACGTCAGAGGGTGGGGCGGGCCATTCCAAATTCTGCCGTTTATCCGGATTTGTGCGATCAGGAGATGGGACTAGGGCTCACGCAACGAGCGTTGCTTAGCGTGAGGGTAGATCCCAAAGATCCATCCAACCTAAAGCTGCGGACAAATAATAACGATTAAGATTACCGCGCGCGAGTAAGCTCTCATTTGCGTGTGACCGCACAGGAACTGATTAAACGTTTCTAGAAAATATGTACTAATGATCGACAATTGGATGTGCATAACTTTAACGGTCTTCCAAAGCATGAATATGAAATCATATTATACCAATGATATCAATCTAAGCGTATCGATCATATCATTTCAGTCACATCAATCCATCAGTCCAATGTAAGTTTAAATCACAAATCAGTACCATACACTAAGTTTTCGTCGAGATTCTATCCATTCATTTAAGCATCTGTGAGCTTCAATGACTATAAGCTTAGGAGCAGACTGCCACTCAACGTCTTTGGCGTAATTCGTTGTACTGCACGGCTAACCCTCGCAACTACTCGTGCCCCAACAAGTTCATACGCGCTTACAATGATCGTCGTTCGTTGTACGATATTCTTCTCAAGCGGCTATAAATCTATAGAAAATAATTATCGATAATTTGACCGTGAACAGAGTGTATGGTGAATGTAAATGCCTTCTCAATGTCGTCAGAGAGCGGAAATTTATCAAACGCGCCTGATGATTTAGACTCAATCTGGGCTTTTGCGGTTTCAGTGACTGCGATATCTTTTTTTGCGGGGGGGGGAGAGTTTGGCCTTACATTGGATGTCAAGAGACACAATAAGAGTTAAGTCTGCAAAAGAGATGTAACTTGGTCCCGTGATTTCAGTCATGGTCGTATATGTATTATATACTTCTACGGAATGGTTCACATGTCTGTCTATTCAAAACAAGATATTTCGCTCATTCATTGATGAATAAGTCTGTGTTGTCGATCCCATTAAGCTCCACTTCCCGCCGTAAAGTACGCGCAACATCCCCAAATTAAAAGGAACCGATGTTGCATACCCCACAAAATTGCATCCTCGTGGCGCTATCAGCAGTTGTAGCCAATATACTGTGAGTCATGCCTGTTGCAGCGGTATGTTCATGGTGCCTACGCCAAAAGTGTACCGGGAGGCTTCACTCTATGCCCAGTTTCGCCGACCGGCCAAACAAGCTCGCCTTGCCAATACCTGTCACGGATTCAGTGAAAGGTTGTCACTGCCTCGCTGCGCTCCATTCCGGGCAGGGGACGCTCAGCTCGTGACGTTCGCGTAGGCTTCAGGAAGAAAGGCGACCTCTCACTTCAGTAGAAGACGCCTTTCTCTGTCAGTTATGAAGCCATGCCAAGGAGCTGATGTCGGCATACAGCATTAGGTAGCCGTTGCCAGTCACATTTTGTTGCATGCTTGTGACTTTCCCACTCCAAGACCACCATACGTAAATTGCTTGAGGAACACATAGATAAGACAATAGCAATGGCCTTCTCCTCGGAGAAAAACCGGGAGAAAGGAAATATAGTTGGGTTGATATTTCGGCAACATGCCTTTACCAAAACAATAGCAGAAGTGAATTCAAAATTGCCTGCCGATGATGATACAGTGCCGATTACGGCACTGAATTGTGGTAATGGCTGACAATCGCTCTCTGTTTAATCCTCCGAATGTTGGTGTCCTATAAAAACTGTGGATTGCTATTTCCAAAAAAAAAAAACACGCCAAATCAAGTGGGATTATCGGCAGGCAGTTTTTAATTCACTTCTGCTATTGTTTCGATAAAGGCATGTTGCCGAAATATCAGCTCAACTATATCTTCATTCGCGTGGTTTTTCTGCGAGGAATAAGGTTATTACTACTGTCCTATCTATGCGAATAATGCTCCTGGCTAATGCACAGAGTAACTCACGTAAGCTTAAAGAACACATTCAAAGCAAAGGGCATTAACTTCTGACAGCTGTCTCGGCGAACAACACATCTTATGATAAACAACGCCCCTCCACCGTCAAGTAAAGTCGCACTCCTTCCTACCAGTTTCTCACTCATGGGACAGCATGTCTGACGCCATGGGGTTCAATTGCAAAACAGCGACACGCGCATGTGCAGTTTGGGACTGATTCACGTCTTGCTGATCTCTTATCATGTTGTAGCCTGAAATATTCCCCGTGTGCTCGCAATTCTAAGAAAGCCTTCGCTGAGAGCCGCTCCATGTCGTCATCGGTCACCTCATCCAGCTGCGGGCTGGAGTCGCCTTTGCCACCCCACCGCGGCACCAAACCTGTCTTCACCCGTGACGTCGCATGGCGTCCTCGGCCGGTGCGGCGGTGACGTCACAGAGTCGGGCCGGTCAGCCAGTCTTGACCACCTTCGACCGGCCGCTCGCCCATTGCTGCGGAGTGCGCCCCGGTGCAAAGAAGTGGACTCATCCGGCGCCGAATCTGCGCACGGTCCTGGGCGCCCTAGAGTGACCCCGGAGGTCAGCACACGGACGGTACCCAGGTACGTGCTGCTGGGTAAGGCGCCTTTTTAGTGGGATAGCACTGGCCTACGGGCAAGTCGAGGAATTCTTCACGTTGTTGGTGGTGTCCTTAATACTTTTAGATGATGGTGGGGTTTCAGCAGGCTTAGATGACGGTGGCGCTTCCATGACATTAGACTGAGCGGTCGCTTCGATCACACACAAAGCTGAACGGCTGACGTAAACACTTCACAATCGTGTTTCTACCGTTAATGATCTTGCACAGAAACATTGTCTCCATCTTGACCATGTTTTGTACTTTTTCGACAAAATAAGAAAAGACAGATGCTTTGAGACTTAAATAACCGAGGGCAACGAGTCCTTGTAGATATCAGCACTTTTTTGGAAAAGGTTAACGTGAAATAAGTTTTGGATGAGTTCAGTTTGATCAAAGCTTATTTTTGACGAAACATTTTGACACGATGTTCTGATTTCAGCACACTCAGCCAGCGCGGGGTTGAATGGCTACGCCAGTAAAATTAATCCCGTCAGAAGGTTGATCGTACCTGTAACTCCGCATGTGCGATGTTGGACTGCACTTTTCTCTGATATGACGTGAATATCTTTGTGCATTGGAAGATGTTTTTCATAAAGGAGGTGTCAAAGCGGCGCATGCGACGGTTTGCCATTGTCAAGACTGCCTCTTCTTTTCAGCATGGCGTCCGTATACTTCTTCATGGTGGCGATGGGTTTGGTAACATGTGCGTCAGGAATGGGAGCACATGGAGGTAAGCTTAAGCAATTCCCAAAGTCTTACTCGCCATAGCACATTTCCGTCATAGCTAATGCTACTATGACGCAAAAAATATGTCCATCAAGCGGTCTTGATCGACATCCCCAAACGTCGAATGTAGAGTTTCCTGTATATTTGGAGGGATCCGCGTCCTCCCCGATGTTCCTGAACTTTGACGTGAGGAATGTGACTGTCGTGCAAACATACTTGGTTTCCAATTTCAATGTGTCGCGAACTACTTTGAAAAGCACCACCTCTCACAAAAGCTGCTCTTACCACTGCAAACAAATCACACACGGATGCATGACCTCTGATGAGATTCCGTCCTTGAATACCCAATCGTCTCATCAGGAGGCCTTCCAGGACCCGGCGCCAGAACGGCCGTCAGGGTCTCATCACTTGCATGTTGCTGCCCAGTGTACTGCTGTATGTCGTCGGGTAGACTTCCTCGTGTGCTGTCTTCATACCTTATGGGTCGATTTGGAAGGCTTATCTTAAGGAATGTACGGCTCTCGCCAAACATAATGCAAGTCGGCTGAAGGCCAACAAGCACGCGGAGCCAAATAATGCGTACGTTTCGGCGTGGGTCGTGTCCCACCTCTCTCTCTCTCTCTCTCTCTCTCTCTCTCTCTCTCTCTCTCTCTCTCTCTCTCTCTCTCTCTCTCTCTCTCTCTCTCTCTCTCTCTCTCTCTCTCTCTCTCTCTCTCTCTCTCTCTCTCTCTCTCTCTCTCTCTCTCTCTCTCTCTCTCTCTCTCTCTCTCTCTCTCTCTCTCTCTCTCTCTCTCTCTCTCTCTCTCTCTCTCTCTCTCTCTCTCTCTCTCTCTCTCTCTCTCTCTCTCTCTCTCTCTCTCTCTCTCTCTCTCTCTCTCTCTCTCTCTCTCTCTCTCTCTCTCTCTCTCCCTCACATTATGAGTTCCCTGGCCGGGTGGTAGGCCGCGCATGACATGTCATACCCCGGGACATGTGTTTATCTCTCCGAGTTGCGAGACACGCACGCTGTGCGGGCGAAGTTACGTACTGTCTGACTTTCACATAATTGGATCCCGCCGGAAAAAAATGATGTCACCACCAGACAGACAAAAAGACTCAACACGTACCGACGCTGCCCTGTTTCGACGGCCATTCACGAATTCAGTTCGTGAATCATGCTGTGAAGCACCGCCTTAAGCATCTGGAGGCACCAAGTCAGTGGCATTATAACCCAAAAAAGGCTGTGGTAACAAGGCAAGGCGAAGGCTTTTCATATTCACGCAACCATTTTCGGGGGCCTGGCATTGGCGTCTTCCACGAATTGCTGGCTATGGCGGGCGGCTGGAATTAAAAAATGGCTTTAACCACGACCACGTCGCAGTGAAGAATGTCCCTATCAGCCGGCACAGTTTGACCTTGATGAATTATTCATTTATTCACGATGCCTGACAAGTCGAGCCTGGAGGTCTCTGGGCAGTGTCCGGCACCATTCCCTGGGTGCCGTGCCATCGAATCACCGGGAACCACACGGTGAACTGTCCCCCCTGTAATCGAACCCTCTGGGTCAGCGTGGCTCCTCGACCTCGTTGTGTGGGGCACAACTTTGGGTGAGAAGAGCCGATGAACCCCTTTGAGAAATGGGCGCAGCTGTTTAAATCTGCGGTTTTTGCTCTCGTTTGTTGTCTATATTATTTCTCAAACCTCAAACGATGTTTCATTATTTGGACATGTCACAATCTGTAGCATAGCTATCAAATGTATAGGATGTATAACATTATCATTGAAACACACCACTGCATCACATTATTGTCACAACATTATCATTATCATTTAATGTTGTCATCTCCATCACACATTATCGTTACGCTCTATCATTATCAAGCATATCATTGTAAAGAGCAAAAACCATGTCTTTTTCCTTCCTTCATGGCAGTGGTACCAACTCATTAGCTGATCACCATACCGAGTAATGCGTACGTTGCGCTGTAACTTACTACGACACCAGGATGTGACTGCATTCATTGTAAGATGCTGGTGTTCATATTTCTTGACTTACCGGACTAATTTTATTGGGCTGTATTGCGTATGATGGTTCTTATGGTTCGGATGGTTTATGGATGGTCCTTATCGTTCGACGTCTTTTTATGTGCGAAAGCAATATATCTGAGACCCCTCGTACAAGAACATCACCGCAATGCTGCAAATTTCCCCCGTCCCTTCTCTCGAGCACAATACTCCAGATGAGGTATCAATAAGAATTGCTGTGAACCTGAGGCTGTTTTCGTCCGAAGCACTGATTATGGTGTTACTGAGCTTATTCAGTTCTGAAAGCCTATAGTCTTTCCAAGACAATATAATACTTGTCTCATTTGTGTAGTGCGGAAAATTCTGACCAAGTTGGAGTACATCCGTCCATAGTGGATGTTGAAAGTCTCTTGATACTGTGCTTCTGTTATGTTCTGTCTGTTATCTGTCTATATGCTAGAATGCGAACGTTGGTCGTTATTTTTTACCTCGATAAGCCTCACGTAATCGTGCTGAGACCAAAAGCCGCATGGTCCATCACGTTTTTAAGGAGGGAGTCCATATCCGGCATTCATAGTCCGTCAAATAGGTATAGCTGCTTCATTTGATCTCTTTTAACACTGTCAATTTCTCCACATCAAAATCAAGCACTCACACTTCCATTCTCTTAGCAATGACTCTCAAATGATTATGCAAAACTATTCATATGCTAAGTACTGCAAAGTCGTGTTGGGTACTTCCAGTTCTTCCACAGATGTCAATGAAGGCTTGTATTTGGGAGAAGTTACGTTTCGTATCAGTGCGGCTCTTTGTGAGCTATCCATGGCGCTTGGCATCGCGTGTTGACCTTCGATAAAGATCATTTTGATAGCCTAATCCAGCTTTATGGTTCACTCCACCCAAGCTCTGCTCCACTCCACCCGCTGCCCGCACGCCTCCACATAGTAATAACAGATCCTCTGGGGCAATGGGGGGGGGGGGGGGGATCTGTCTTCTTTCTGTCTTACCCCATGCCATGACAAAGATCAAAAACGAAATTCTTCTTGGAGTGGGGCGGCGGCTGTTCTCGCCGCCACCCCTCCCCTTCCGCTTCCGCCGACCTTGTCCCACTTTCTTGCGTTCTCCTTGTGTCCTCCGCTCTTCTTTTGGAAGCAGAAGTTGGACATCTCCATCTGCTGACCTCAGACGTCCTCGGGTATTGATAGCGACCTCTCATGACCTCTGCTGACCCCCCCCCCCCCCCCCCCAGCCACATCGGGGAAGCACGCAACGAGCCCGATCGCCCGGCCGCCCTACAACGTGGCCGACCCGTGCGGCTCCTCCCCGTGCGGGCCCAACACGGAGTGCAGCATCGACAACCGGGGCATCGGCGTCTGCCAGTGCCTGCCCGGCTACTTCCCCAAGCCGAACACCGTCATCGGGTGTGGTCCGCAGTGCGTCAGGTCAGTGGAGAGGTCACGCGAGGTCATACCAGAGCCATCTCAGCGGTCCATCGAGCCGTCGTGGTGACGTCAGCACCAGGTTAGTACCGGTCCTCTGTGGGCCTTTATAAGGTCTGCTGTCGGATATTGTCAGCCAGAGCAGGAAGAGACGTAACGCTCATCGCTTGTGTTCGAAAAACTATTTCTCTCAGATCATAACGCGGTTGAAACGCCACCGTAACGCTGTCGTAACGCTGTCGGACACATAAATGCACCAGTAACAGACCGAAACCAGCCAGTGCCACGCTTTTCAAAACTGGTCTCAAACACACCACGCTGTGACGTTACCTACAGTAGACCGGGTCATGAACACTAGGTGCGCATGTGGCGCAATCGGTGCTGCAGATATCCACTCTGATTTCTGGTGATTTTTCCATTAATTTCACCGCAGCCTACTAAAGGCAGCATTAGCGAGTTTGTTTTGCACCGCTCGAATTTCCGAGCTTTTGAACGATCATTAGCGTTCAGATGAAAAATTATGGGCTAAAAAGCTCGTCAATGCTGACCAGCGGTCATTCTTAATCAAGCATGCGCATATATATATATATATATATATATATATATATATATATATATATATATATGTATATGACACTTATCGCTAATCGCTAATCGCTCGGAGGTATATATATATATATATATATATATATATATATATATATATATATATATATATATAATACCTTCGCCTGTTAATCTCATGAAAAGAGGACATTCCAAAATGGATTCATACGGTCCATCCATATTGGTTTCCAGAGGCAACGCGCTTTATATGCTTATGTTAAGGTATATCAGCCTCGTGATAATGGCGCACCCGTCGCCTCCTCACACGTCGCGCGCTGTAAAATGCGTCTTAATGGTAAACATAAAATACCGGTGAATGCTGACATGTCCAGTAACATTTTCATATGAATAAGTTTTGCGACTGACCCACACCCTTGATTTATGTTGAGATACAAAACCATTACAAAATGAAAGCGGCAGGATTGCGAGAAGATGCACACACGTCAATCCTGAGCAAAAAGACGTTTGAAGAAGACGGACGATCGTTTTGTGAAGCGACTAACACAAGAACATGGGCAAAAGCCTGACGGGTGGCCCTCCGCGATAACCGCTCTCAAGGACGGGTTGAAAATGTTTGTCCCGAAGCGTGACCTGCTAGGCGGCAAGGCAACAGCCGTTTTCCAGCCAGCACACTCATTATTCGCTGCATCAAGTACATTAGCGTTTACAACGGGAGGGGGGGAAGGGGGGGGGAGTACGGTCGTCATCCCATCCAGCGAAAATCCCTATTCATGGATCATGCAAATTAGCTGTTTCTCATGCAAATCTTGCTAGCAGACTCCATTGGTGGATGCCGTGTCCGCGTCTGACCGAACGCGTGCCCCACCCGAAGCGCATGCGCAAAGCAGCCAGAGCCGGAGGAGACTACAGCGGTGCAGAACTGACGCCGGTTGCTTCACCATATCCGGGTCAAGGTCACCCCGGCGCCGCGCCGGGGCCCGGGGGAGAGGGGGGGGGGGGGGCAGGGTTGGCGACTTGCACCCCGTAGCTGTGCGTACCTGCCCAGGACTGCTGTCTCCGGGGAGGCTCGGAGGAGGGGGGGGGGGGGGGAGAGGGAGGGGGCCGTGAAGCTCATGTGTCACTGCCCCGCATATCTCTGGTAAAGGCCTAGCTGTAGGACGTTGACATGGTACTGGGCATGTTTGTGGGGCCAGCTTGGCAGTGAGGCGATATAACGGTATTGCATTATAGACCATCGCAGCAGTTTCTTGTGTGGGCCACGGCACAGGTTCTTGCAGTTTCTTCAGAGTCACGGCACAGGTTCTTGCAGTTTCTTCAGAGTTACGGCACAGGTTCTTGCAGTTTCTTCAGAGTCACGGCACAGGTTCTTGCAGTTTCTTCAGAGTCACGGCACAGGTTCTTGAAGTTTCTTCAGAGTCACGGCACAGGTTCTTGCAGTTTCTTCAGAGTCACGGCACAGGTTCTTGCAGTTCTTCAGAGTCACGGCGCAGGTTCTTGCAGTTTCTTCAGAGTCACGGCGCAGGTTTTTGCAGTTTCTTCAGAGTCACGGCACAGGTTCTTGCAGTTTTCTTCAGAGTCACGGCACAGGTTCTTGCAGTTTCTTCAGAGTCACGGCGCAGGTTCTTGCAGTTTCTTCAGAGTCACGGCACAGGTTCTTGCAGTTTCTTCAGAGTCACGGCACACACAGGTTCTTGCAGTTTCTTCAGAGTCACGGCGCAGGTTCTTGCAGTTTCTTCAGAGTCACGGCACAGGTTCTTGCAGTTTCTTCAGAGTCACGGCACAGGTTCTTGCAGTTTCTTCAGAGTCACGGCGCAGGTTCTTGCAGCGAACGGTATCACCAGAGAAATGCACGGAGTCTTGCTTGCATGGAGCATGCCGAAAAACAATTTTCAATCCCTTTTTCAAAACGTGCATCACACCACTCCCACTCTACAGCGAATTAAGAGAGAAATGCTATGATGGCACTCGTACTGGACATGGCTGACCTGTATGCGGCCTCCAACGAAATGTTCCCTGGCTTTCAAGGATGCCTCTGGCGTCTGACGTCAAAGATGTCTCTTTCTCTGACGCGTAGAGGGATGCCTTCAAAACCTATGTTGCAAGCAAGGCGACATGAGACTAAAGCTGAAGGCTAGATGCAACGCTCTGGACTTAGATAACATGAATCCGTTCGCCAGACGCGGCGGGCAGCGCTGGTGAAGCGGTAAGGCTGGGTGATTCGCTGACCATACACGGCTTGAGCTGCAAATCTTGGTGTCAGCTGACAGATCTTTAGTACTTGCAGACGTACTTAAGGCTGTGCTTTTGCAGTTTAAGCGTTCACGCCTTGATGGCCTTCATCGGGATGATTCACAGAGCTTAAGACTTTCGGCGTTAGTGCCATGCATGTATTGTACTTAAATGCATTTGTGATTGCAATTGTACTACATTGCAATTACAAACTTCTCACCTTTCTCTTCACTCCCCCGTCATCATTTACCAACGCTAATGATGCCGAGGAAGTGTAGTCAGCTGGTTTATTGGGTCGACAACGGCCAATGCATTCATTGACGCACGTTAGTCCGAACTGCAGATTGTCCAGCTCTTTTAACCCCGGTCGTCACTCGACCGCACTTAGCGCTCACGTGACACCCGGTCAGGTAGCGAGGAGGGCTGCAGGCACGGATCGGAGCCCGTTCCGGCGCATCGGGACCGTAGCAGATCGTCAAAGGTTTCGGCTTCTTGTCTACACACACTAGCATTGCTGATATGGGGGCTGGTGCAGTTTGTGGCCTCGTCAGAATCGATGTCCAGCTTGGCATCGAATAAAGCGAGTGACAAGAAGCAAAAACGCGGGAATCTTCAGACCCATGACTTGCACATACAGAGAGGCATGGTGGGTCGCAGACAGATGTGGCCCGTCCAGCAAACATGGTGCCTTGCACGGCATATCGAACTTTCCTGAGTGTCTGGATGTGTCAGCAATGTGCTGGATTTTCGGCAATTTCGGCAATTTCGGCAACTGGGGCTGAAGCTTCTGCTTCTGACTCAGGCTGAAGCATCTGCTTCTGACTCAGCGTCATCCGACAGCTCGGTCCTGCCCGGCAAGTTTGCTAAATATAGCTGCGTCTCGAGCGAAGTCTGAGCCAGCGAACAAGAGTATTTATCAGCGATCCACCGATCTCACGCCTGACGTCACAGGCGTGGATGCTGGGAAACTGGTCGGCTGGATCAGATTGGAGTTCCAGTCTCCACGTCCCGTATTTGTCTTCTCTGCACCGTGTAGAATGTGGCCTACGAATGGCCGAAGTAGCGACATAGTATAAGTAAGCGACGCATGGCCCGTCAAGCCGCAATATAAGGTGCAGGAAAACGATGCACGATTAGCTGACTTGAGTGACTGAAAGTTCTTTTAAGGATGGGAACAGGCTACGATGCTTTGGAAATGGTATAACGCTATGATATTACTCGGGAAGGCTCCTGTCGATCCCTTCCATACCCATTAAGCAGAGTGGCAAATCAAGCCGGCATGGTCACCTACCAAAAGACACCTGCGCACTTTGCCAGGCGAATGCTTCAAACCACTTTCCGCTGCATTCCATATGTTGGGCATAGAAGGCATGCGCCATCCACGTAATTGATGGTGACACACAAGTTGATCCTAACCGGCACTTTCTAAACAGGTGCTGATTTGCTGTGACCGGCGCTTGCTCTCTGTCCGCCTATTTCCAGTTTCAAAACCGCCCATCATCTAGTCTAACTGCGTCTCGTCTCGTTCCAGCGATAACGAGTGCGGGTCAGGCTTCATCTGCCAAGGTCAGAAGTGCGTTCAGCGGACTCCCTCCTACTCAGGTCAGTGCCACTCCCGCCAGCACACGATGACGGCGGGCCAGCCGTCCCCTCTCCGTAGAAATGAAACATTGACGCTGCGGGTATCTGGTTAGAAACTAGGTAAACGTTGCTTTTGTTCCCCTCCCACCCTGTCCGCTCAGATGATCTGTTATCATTACCCTCGTGCAGTGATGTCAGGAATAAGAAAAGCGTTAAAAATCGCTACCAAAGAAGTTTGTATCTCTCCCCCCCCCCCGCCCCCCCCCCCCCCCCACCCATTAATATATGATCTTTCCCATTTTTTTCTGGCTCTTCATTTTCACACTGCAATACTTCTGCAGTTTCGCTTAAAAAGTAGGCCCATGGAACTCCAGGAACCGCTTTGAAGAATTTGTATTGTTTCATCGACACGAAAATAGTGGCGAAACCTCCCGGAAGCGCCAGCAATGTTTAACTCCAGCTCCCCTTTCCTGGTGGGGACTTGTCCAGCTAATTCACGACAGAGTTACACCTAATTTGTCAGGGCGGGATGCTTTCATAGCGTGAGGTGAGGCATACACGTTCTTAACCCGCAAATGACAGTTTTTTCCGGGTACAAGTCTACCGCGAACATGCTCTTAATTTGGACCATTACCGCGCCGCTTATTCCCACAAATAATTGGGACAGCACACAGGACGCCGTTATCGTTGACGACTCTTCGTTGCAATGGCATACAACCATGAATACAGTGATATAAAATATGAACAGCCATGAACAAGTTTAGAAACAGCCATGAACACCATGGGCGATTAGCGGCACCACAACTGGAAGTTCTGCCATTTTAGGTAACCAGATCTAGCTTTTCTGCATGAGCCTTCGTTGCCAGCTCTGCGTCATGAGTTATGACGCAATGCTTTACGGAGTCTCTCTAGAACGCGCACAGCTTCCACTCCTAGCAAGGGGTGCGCTGATCATACATGCTTCAACCAACAAGGAAGGGTGAAAAGAACCTTCCGGATTGCCATCACTTCCCCTCGAATGAAAATTGTCGGAGATAAAGCTGATCACGACAGTGCACCACTTCAAAGCAAAGCCGTTGGTTTCCTGCCAACACCGAGCTATGCGCATGTTTGCGAGATGTTTGCCGCCGCTTGCTGAGGCATATGCCCCTGCGGAGGCACATGCGCATGCTGACGAGGGTCAGTAGACCGCTAGGTGACATCATTAACTTTACACATCACCTTCTAAAGGGGTGGCATAGCTGAGAAATGTGACATGTTTCTAAACCATATTCAGAGCTTCTTTCCGAAGTGGCAGCCAGCGTCCGGGCACAGTAAACAGCGCCCGTAGTTCTGTGCATTATCATCCTGATGAAATGAGGTCGAAATACTGATTGTAAACAAAACGCACTCTGAGCGAAGTGCCATACCATTTCAGGTGCAACAGGTGCTTCTTCTCATCGCGGATCCTCTGGTAGTGGCAGCAACAGAAACACCGCCAGCGTTAGTGAGTACATTCAAGACCTTTGTCAATCCGGAGGGCGTTAGTCCCTTTTGTTCATTTGTGTGCAAGCTCATACCAAGCGACGCGTAGTGACGCCTGTTGACTTGTATGGGTCTATGGAAGCATCAAATTCAGAGTCAAAAAATTACCCATCCGTGAAATTGCATGAGGAGTTGGTGGCCCTTCTGCGGTAAGTTATTGTAATTCAGAGCTACAGCTCCTGACCGGCCATCAGCCGGAATTCGTTCATACAAAAATGGACATAAATGCCTCTGAATGCATGACTGTGCCATTGGGAATCTTTTCCTCGACCCGGATCTGTAACGGTTCTGTATCCGGATCTGTATCTGGGCCTGGACCCTCACGTTATTGACTCATCGTCTTCGTAAACAGATCCGGCTCACACGAATAACCGAATGGTTTGCGCATTGAACTTTCACGTTTGTCTGGCGTTCGAATCCCGGCACGCCATGACCCCAGGGCGCCAATATGGCCAACGCCGTCGCTTGCGCTTTATGAATGGGGCGTGGCGACGCGCGTAGCGCTCCTTTCAAATGA